TATTATAAAATGTTTGTAGGTAAACTAAGGGCAGGTGTATGCTCATCAGTAGACTTTAACAAGCTTTAATTAAAGTAATTTTACAAAATACTTATTGAATTCAAAATATACATTTAAATCTAATCAGTGAACATTTATCTGCGATGGTTGGAAGATTTTGAGAATTAATTGTCAAAGTTATCAATTTAAGCATAAATAATATTCAAAACAACATTAGATTAGTAACCTGAAAAGTTATAATATCTGTTACTTTTCCAACTGCAAACAATAATAATTTGTCAAAGATTGTCTTACGATAGTGGTATCGTTATTTCGCAGTAGCATAAGAGAATACTTCGTCTCATATCGTCCCGTGATTATTGAGAGATGACATAAATATATGCTCGGAACATTTCACACAACGATGTGGCATTTGTACCAAATATTAAGTACCTACGTATTAGCAATAATGGAATTGGCTTGGATGTGTTTTCGACAAAAATCCCGAAAAAAATATGTAGGTACCTACTTAATGGCAATAATTTACTAGATAATAATATATTAATCATTATAAATACTAAATAAGCGTTTTAGCACAGAATAAAATTTGTTATTTAAACTGATGTGTGATGTGATTAAGGGATGGCATAATTTGATAGGGTCTATTAAATTTCACGTAACCCTCAAAACTTGAAAACAAGAGTGTACCTACCCACCCATTACGTGTTGCCAGAGCTGACATTTGCATCGGAGACAATGAGCTATGGAATGGGTTATGCTCCAATTTTCTCTGCGTAATAGACTCCGCAATGAGGATATCACCAGTAGAATCAGTAATATTGTATTACGACATAACTCAACGCATTACTAGGTTAAAGTGGCAATGGGCCGGCAATATACTTCGAAAAATGGAAAACCGATGTGTAAGAAAGGTTCTCAGGTCACAGTTTCGTACCGTTAAGTGAAATACAGAGCGGCCACCACTATATGGAGTGTTGACCTGGTAACACATGCAGAAAGTCGATAGGTGTAAGTAGTTCAGGACCCTGTTTTGTGTGTAGTTCCTTGACGAAGTCTATGTTCACTAGTGAAATTGTAAAGGGCTGTAATGATGATACACCATGTTGAAGAAATCAATTTGTAATTTGTTAGTTATGAAAGCAGAACAACAAAGAAAGAAAGATGGAGCACTGCGTACATTTCAAGTGATGCAAAAACCAAGCCAAAACCGTAATTAACTTGTAAAAACAATCGCTCGCATATAGGTACATAATTATGCGTCCAAAATCTTTTACCACTAAGAACATGGTTTTGGCTGCATATGTGTGCGTCCAGCAGTAAATATTTACGTGCTGATAAATAAAGAAAGTAGAAAGATGTGTGCGTGAGTGCGTGACAAGAAGTTAAGCATGATTTCGACTTCATTTGAAATGTACTTACACATCACAGCGCTCCGTCTCACTTTGTCTGAACTGAGAATTAGAAAATTTTCAAATAAACTGGGGACCAGTTTATTTAAACTCTTATTTGAATCCTTACACATAACTAAACCCTCTCAGAAATGAGAGGAGGCTTAATAAGACGCTGCTGTCCATCTCTTGATTCGTTTCTCTTTGTCGCTTCTTACGACACCCACGGGATGATATGAGGTAGTGGATATTTTTACATCGCCCCTACACGGTACATATAGTACATATACACATATGTACGGTACATTATAATTATTCCCAGGAAATAGTTAATTTCAATCTCAAACCAAGAGACAGCTGCGTACAAGTGACGCAAAATACTCAACTTACTGTAAGGACGCACACTCACGCACACTCATAAATTCAAAATTATTTGCAATCAAGAATATGGTTTTAGGTGCGTAAACTTTAAAGAAGAAAGATTTGCGTGAATGAGTGTCAAGTAGTTGAGCTTGGTTTCTGCGTCACTTTAAACTTTCGAAAAGCTCCGTCTATCTTTATTGTCTGAGGCTTATTAAGTGGCGAAGCTTGCGAAGTCACTTATTGATTTCACGATGTCTGTCCGTCTGTCCGTCTGTCCCACGATAATCTCGAGAACGGTTTCGAATTTTCAAATTCTGTTTTCAGCAATCGATTACTGATCACCCAGGCATCTGAACCTCCTATTTTGAAACTGACTGCTCAACGGCAACCGTTAGAAACCGCTACAAAGCTGATTGCTTCGCCACTTTGCTATGCTGTTAGCTTGCTAGGTTTATTAAATAAATAAACCCAAAAGAAAATATACGGAGTAGGTAAAATGTAAAGTATAGTATTGAATCTCAGACAAAATTTCGAATTTTGCGAAGTTTTGTAATAAGATATATATGAAAGAATACAATTAAAAAAAACTTGAAGTGTGTAGAGGTTACAATTATTTATTCTGTAGTAGACATCGATTTAAAAAGTACGCGGGTTTAGGCGGGATTTTTACCGCCGCGGCGGCGGATTGCTGCTCCTGTATATCATTCTTTAAATAATGGTTTGAAGTAGATGTTGATATGTTAAAGTGGTGTGATTTTTTTTGTATTAAGTGTCTGCACATATGAACTATTAGGAAACAATGAAACACGTGCTCCGATGGTCATGTGAATCTCAAGATTCTATAACATAAATAAGGTGTCTGTTTGCTTAGATGCCTTGAAATGCTATCGCCAACTGTCTGCTGGCTCAAGTTGCCGTCAAAGAGGAATGGAAAACAACATCACCCAAAGGCTACGCAATGTGACGCCACACCATATTGTGAAGGGATTATTATCACTTGATACTGAAAATCTATAAAAACGAAGATCCCGAATAAAATGAAGACATGGCTTAAATGACAAGCATCCAAGCCAAAAAAACTCTAGAGAAAAAAACGTGTGCAGTCCACACGCGGTAGAAAGTGAAACCTTCAGAAAAGAAGACCGAGATAATAGGAAACACTGTATACTGTATTCTATTTCATTCTCTAGCAGGCTAAATTCTATAGATGGTTATGTTTATCTTTTCAGTGTCGCTTTTTCGTTTTATAAAGTTACAAATCACAACGATTCTAAAGAAGTTTTCATGTAAAAAAAAAAGTACACCGTAATGTATAGTGGTATCTATAATAGTATCTATACTACTATCATTGACTATACACTACGATTTAAAACGAATTAAAAGATATCGTTTTAAATTCTGTGGTTTTAAAATATTTACGACTATCTATAATTGTATCTAACCTTACGTTTTGTAGCCTAATATTAGTTTAAAAGCATGTTGTTGTTTTGCAGCATATGCTGTAAAAAGATTAGAGGCCTTACACGTGTTTAAACAGCTAGATTAGTTTATTTAAATTATTGCCATAGCATAATAACATACTATGGAATCTTGCTATGGTTTAATGCGACTAGGGTTACCAGACGACAGGATTTTTCCTGACATGTCCAGAATTTTAGCTCTCTGTCAAGGAAACAGGAAAATTTTGAAATTATCAGGAATTTTTAAATAGTAAGAGCAAAATATTCGAAGTACAAATTAATATATTTACTAAACAGTTTACATACAAAAAATAATAATATATGAATCAATCTCGAAGTCAAATTAATCCATTCATCTGATCTGGCTCGCATTTTTTATTGCGCATATTATGTCAAGCACATGCGCGAGATTTTACTCTCGCGCATATATATGTATGTATATATATATATATATATATATATATATATATATATATATATACACGTAGTAGAGCTGCATGCTGCAGCTATATTAGTAATATAGTTGTAGCACGAATGGGTTGGCTCGACCGGGGAAGAACCACACTTTTGCAAAATAGCAGCTTAACACTGCTGTGTTTTGTATGGTGAGTGTAGAGAACCAGAGATCCTTTTATACTGGTAAAGAGGCATTCCATCTTAGTTGTCAAGGAGGACAACACATCTGCATTTTGATTCTTTATTGAGTATAGATGTAAATGTCTATGGGTCACAGCAACCACTTACCATCAGGTGGACTGTGTGCTCGGTTGTCAGCCTATCCTATAAAAAAAGACATTTTGGGTTGGTATTTGAGGAGCGCTAAAAACTTGTCAAATACCTACCCAAAAATGTCTACCAGGTCTCGGACTATTTGCTGCCTCTGCGTCAATGTCAGGAAATTTATTGAAAAATCAGGTATATTGCCAGGAGAACTCATTGTGGGATCTGGTAACCCTGAATGCGACTGATGTTGAAACCATCTTTGGTTTGCAGAAGAGCAATTTATCACCTAGGTCCGAAGGAATCTAGTTTGTCAATATACAAGTTTAAAAGTTTTACTTAAGAAAAATTGTACAAAAAGGGTTATTATAATATCAAGGAACATACCTATTACGAACAAAAATAAGCCCTGGGAATGAGGTGATTGCCACCATGCTGGTTCAATTGATATTCATATAAAAGTACAAAATTATTTTAAAGGTAGGACAGAGGTTCATATTTTCCGAACAAAAGTATTATGTAATAAACAATATTGAATAAAAATTATTCTATTCTAATATCTTAGAAAAAAAACTAAAGAAATAAATACATGTATGAACCTTGGCCTCTCAGAATATTTACATTTTTGTTTTATAAAATAAGGGTGACAAGCGTACCATAGACATCTACATCAATCCTCGATTAAGAATCAAAATGCGAAAATGGAATGCCCCGTTTCCAGTAAAAAGGGTCTCCTGTTCTTTACTCTCACAGCAACACTGAGCTGCCCTTTTACGCTGGTATTCTGTGGTAGCGTGGTCCTTCCTCGGTCCAGCTGATCCATTCGTGCTACAACGTACACGTTCTTTGAATAATAACGATTCTATTCTATTTATAAGTGGCTTTAGCATTTTAATAATTTACCATTTACTTATGTTGCGTAAAATATATTATATACCTATATATAATGACTCCAAACGACGGAATGACCGAATAAATAAATTAAAAATCTAGGTCTGAATCTGGTCAGTGATGGTCTAAATAAAGATCAATATAATAATTATAAAATAAAAAAGAGACAGAAACTCACCTGGCGCATAAACGGCATGTATTTTTTCTCGCTCTTGCTCATTTTACTTTTTATTTTTTAACTGCTATAACATATTATTTTTATATTTTTTTATTATTCTGAAATAAGCGTCACCGGACAAACGAACCTACTGGCTTCATCACCTTGAGAGGAGTGGCATATCTCATCAACGTGGACGATATCCGAACGATAGTGGCAAGTGTTAAGATTAGATTAATTGTTATTTGTTCGTTGCTGATCATTGCAAAGATAACGTCAATCATTGACGCAGGTCTCGACAACTAATTCCTCGTTTGCTCTAAAATAAAATAAAGAGATTAAAAAAAACCTCACGTATTGATCATGAGTTGGGATCATCCTGGGGATAAATTGAGAATGTAGTAACTATTATCACAGAATAAATAATAGCTATTAGTTCAGGGTATTTTATACCGCTCGCTTTTATTTCATACCGCTCGCTCTGACCTCCTCGTGGGATAGTTTCAAGGAGGCAATTGCCTAGATTTTATTTTTGAAATATTGTTTCGGCCGATAACGTTTTCACCTCCCCCCCCCCCCCCATCCTAAAACTTTACGAAATGAGACAATTTTGGTCTCCTTAGTGTTAATACACCTAGGTCTGTGCGTTTTTCTTTTTTCGTATATCAGTTGAATTCGTAATTTAAAAAAATACGCTCGAGGAAGTTTTTAAATCAAAAGAATTGATATTCAGATGCTAATAATGTCTATATTTCCTTTTTAAAATATTGTTTCGGCCGATAACGTTTTTCACATCCCCCCCCCCCCCCCCCTTTTAAAGCTTTGCGAAATGAGACAATTTTGGTCTCCTTAGTGTTAGTACACCTTAATCTAGGTCTGTACGTTTTTCTTTTTTCGTATATCAGTTGAGTTCGTAATTTAAAAACAAATACGCTCGAGGAAGTTTTTAAGTCAAAAGAATAGATATTTATATGCTAATAACTTATAACGGAATATTTATTTAAAATAAAAACGTACGGACCTCGTTTTTCATTATACTCGTACCTACAACATTTCCAAATATTATGAAAATTAGACTAAGTATATTTACGGGGAGAATAACGTTATCGCTTTTTTTTTAAAAAATTTACAGCTTCACAATCCTCTTAGTCTGTGCTAATAATCAGTTATAAAATTATTTACATTGTCATCGGTACATACTCTATGTCTACATAATTTCATATCACATTAGTTCGGAAGTATCCGAAACAAAACACGAAATTAATTATATAATATTTCAAACAAACTTATAAATCGAATTGCTAAATTTTATATCTACTTACAGGTCAAGCGTGAACTTAGGAACTAAGCGCTCGCTGTAAATTTCACAGTACGCGGACAACCTGGGTTCGGTCCCAGCCGGCACCAATGAAATTGTTCATTGCAATTTTAAGTGCTGATTTACCACGTTTTTGGTAGTGAAGGAAACCTGTATGTTTGAGAAATAAAAAAATATATTTTCGAAAACATGTGAAGTTCGCCAACACGCATTGGGGCAGCGCAGCGCGGCGGACATTTCCTTGCCCTAAAACCGTCTCAGAAATGAGAGGAGACCTGTGCCCAGCTGTGGGACGTATATAGGCTATAACTGTATAGCTTTGTACAATACACCAGTTCGGAGTCATTTGGAGTGTAATTTAATAATTTGAGAAGATGTACAATCTGATGCAGGAGAAAGTACAAGACAAATTTATAAGGTACTAGCTGATAACCGCGACTTCGTCCACGTTGCTTGACTTTTTTCGTCAATCGTTCTTCATTCATTCTCTCGACATGGCCAAACCATCTCAACATACCTTTCTCAATTTTTGTCACTACATCTTCTTTCAGACCACGACGTTTCCTTACCTCACTATTTCTTATCCTGTCACTCAGTTTAACTCCTATCATACTTCTTAACGCTCTCATCTCAACTGTATTTATTCTGCTTTCGTGTTTCTTCTGCCATACCCAACTTTCACTTCCGTACATGAGTGTCGGAACCAACACCCCCTCATGCATAGCCGAACGAGCCTTGTTAGACACCTTCCGACTGCTCATAAAGGAGTGCAAAGCTCCATTCACCATGTTCCCTGCATTCACTCTTCTTTCGTTATCACTCTCACACTTTCCATCTCTTGTAAACTTTGAACCCAGATACACAAACTCTTTCACCTGTTCAATTTATTCATCTCCAATCACGATATTGCAGTCTGTCACTGCCTCATCTCTTTCAAACACCATCGCTTTCGTCTTCCTTACATTCATCTTCATTCCCTTCCTAACAAAAGCTCCACTCATAGTAGTTACCATCTCTTGCAACTACTCGGCCGAAGACGCAAGTAATACTTGGTCATCAGCATAGAGAAAACATTTGACGAGTAACTCATTCATTCTCAACCCGTTTTCATTCTCTTTTAAATCTGTCAAGCAATTGTCCATGAACAGATTAAACAGCCACGGTGATGCTACACATCCCTGTCTAACACCTTTTTCGATATTAAACCATTCAGTTTATGCCCCCGTTTATCCTTACACAAGCACTAGAATCCCTATAAAGAGATTGCAATGCTCGTACGAAGATACTGCTCACACCGTTCACGGACAGTGCAGACCACAATTCATTCCTCACCACTCTATCATAGGCCTTTTCTAGGTCGATGAACGCGCAATAAACCTTCTTGTTTTTAGCCAAACACTTTTTGGCTATGCACCGCAAGGAAAAGACCTGATCCGCATATCCCATTCTCTTTCTAAATCCCGCTTGTGCATCCCATACTTTTTGGTCTGTTTCATTCACAACTCTTTCAATCAACACTTTCGCATACAATTTACCGACGACGCTGAGAAGGCTTATACCGCGGTAATTTATGCAGTCCTGCCGTGACCCTTTTCCCCTATACAAAGGCACGATTACGGCTTTGCACCAGTCTCCTTGTACTTGCCCATTTCGCCAGCACAAATTGAAAAGGCGGTACAGCTGACTAGCCACTATGCCCTGTCCAGCCCTCAGCATCTCGACGGTAATCCTGTCATACCCTGCAGCCTTACCTACTCTCATACTTTTCAACGCTTTCACTATTTCATCCATGCTTATCTTACTTTAATCAACATTTATATTAGTTTCTATGGAAGGTGCCGGATGCTGTACCTGCACTTCCTCTTGATTAGCTTTTGTTGCTAACCAATCCAACCACGCTTTCTTCTTTTCTTGCACAACCCTTTGTACATCTTTATCCATCCACACGTTATAGTTCTTTCTTCCTTTCTTTCTTTTAGCTACCCCGCATACCTCAATAGCAACATTCACGACCCCTTTCTTAAATGTCTCCCACAAATCTTCAATCACACCTATCTCTTCTATGCCTTTAAAACTTTCTTTCAGTTTCTCTACATACTCATCTTTATTTTCTTTTTCTTGTAGATTTTCCACTTTTACTCTGTCCAGAACACTCGTAGGCTCGGTCTGTCGGTGTCGTCACCGTTTAAAGACCACGCATTTGGGCTATGACCAGTAAGTAGTCTGTGTCGAGGCCTACACCTCTGTATGCCCGAGTGTCTAGCACTTTCTTCCTCAGTCTTTCATCCACAATTACAAAATCAATCATACTTCTAGACTCACCCTCATCTCTTGTATACAAATGGATCTTTTTGTGGTCAAACATTGTGTTGGCCACACTCAAATTCCATTCCGAGCAGGTTTCTCCCATTGTCATTGCCACTCTCTCGTCCCCAAACGTACCCAGAACTCCTTCATACCCATCACGCTTTACTCCAACTCATCCATTAAAGTCCCCTAACATCACGATCCGTTCATTTTCTCCGCATTTATTCAAGACCTCTCTCATGCTATCCCAAAACTCCTTTCTCTCTTTTTGGGATTTTAATGACCCACCTCCACGCAGATCCGTCGGTGCATAGACCCCAAGGATAAACAAGCGAGTGAGTCCAACTTTTAACCTAATCCAGAGGAGTCTTGGGCTTACACATTCATGCTCCATCACACATTCAACCATTCGAGATGAAAGAATCACACCAACTCCCTGACAGCCTCGGCTGGTTTGGGGGACTCCCGACCAGTATGCCGCGTAGGGGCCATGAACCGTGGTGTCATATCCTTGCCTCTTGGTTTCGTTCACGCACAGAATGTCAATGCATCGTTCATCCATCATCTGACTTACTTCATCTATCTTACCATCCATTCCTCCTCTTACATTCAACGTAGCGAAGCGACTCTCCGTGGGCCGCTTTTCGCCCCCGCGAGAAACGAGACGTGATGGGTGGCGAACCACATCGCCGCCATTTTGGTTAATTAAATTATTTTCATTATTGTCCATTGCGTTCCCACAAATAGCGAGGGAAAGGTTTGTCCCCCCCAGCAGAGCCCCGCATGCCAGGGTAAGGCTAGCCTAATTCTGGGGTCGCCCGGTCCCAGGGCAGTATGACACGCTAACGACTAGGCTTGCCCTAGCCATGCGTCCATCCGCGCGGCAGACGTTGGATTGGCGGGAAGGGTAGGATTAGGAAAAGGGGAAGGATAGGTGGTGTGAAAAAGAAGAGTAAGGTAAGTTAGGGTAGGAAATAGGAAATGTAGGATATTACCGTCCAGGAGGGCAAGGGATAGGACAGTAATAGCTAGAGAAGCCGGGGTCGCATACCCGTATACTATACCACAACGACCGGACAGGTGAATTGGGATGAGTATCCCACGGCTCTTATTATAATATGTTACGTAACTATACATGCGCGCCGCGCCGGCGCCGCCGCGCCACGCCGCGCCCTGCCCACGCTGCGCCGCGCCGACAAATCCGATCGGCGCGCCGTAATCCAACGCGGGACGGGCGCGCGGACGCGGGCCCAATAAAACCATGCTATTATTTAAAAATTCAAAAATCAATAAAAAAATGTAAAAAGATCGTAAAAATCGTTCGGTATCGCTTATCGGAATTGAAGCGAGCGGCGGAAATAGAACAAATTAAATTTTTACAATCTCTGGAGCGCGTATCAGAACTTTATGTATATGTAGGAAGGGTAAGTGAGTATAGTACAGAGACTTTGTAGTTAGGAATAATAATTAATTCGTTTACACGAATTAATTATCCAACAAGTCGAGGATAAACTAGTAACGCAATACGACAAGCGTACCGTTCCACGTCAG